TTCTGTGTAGAAGCAAGAAGTGCCATGAATGCTGCATCAATTTCTTGCTGATACATCAAGGTTTTTGTTGGTTACCTGGTATGGCTTGAAACTGTACTAAGTATTGTGCAAAATTCTTTGTACGAAAAATGGTGAAATCTGACCGATCTTCGGGATGATCGGTCACTCGTCTTTTCAACCACGTAACTTCTGCGCTAAACTTAGTAAGAGCTTGAAACTTGGAAAAACAAATGAGGCATTCCTGCTCTTTAAAACGATATATAATAAAGAAAGTTTTGCAAGCTAGAAAAGTTTTTTTGAGTGTCCGAATATAGGTGGTGTCCGATCATTCATAAGGTACTCTAGTAGCTATATACTTACTGATGATGGTGTATGTCTCATACTGGAGCTTGTTCCTTAAGTTAAATACACGTACAGTATAATTGTATTGATGATATGGTATTAATGTACGTATATCATTAATAGACTCATCAGTACCAGTGAATGTGTACTGATCAATGACTGCAGTACTGTCACTGGTAATAGTTAGGAAAGTGTTGGATTGTGAAGGAGGACAACTTAACTGATGACAAACAATAAAAATAATCAAGTTAAGTTATAACTACCTTTATAGTCACATTAGGTGTTAGAAAATTACCATTATTAATTGTAATATCAACAGCATAACCTATCAAAAATGTTATTGATTTAAAAATCATTTCAATAATTTCATTCACTTACTTCCATTATTACTGATAGTATTAATTGAAGTATATTGAGCTATTAGTGCTGTTACACTGATGTTGAATGCATCACATTGTGTAATATTAGGAGCTGCAATATATGTATTAGTTATGGTTGTATCCAGTATGATATCTCCATCTTCTTCATCAATTACTACTACTTGATATTGATAGCTTAAATATAATCCATAAGGTATATCATAAGAGAAATAAGAAGGATGTGACCATGTTATTAATAATGAAGTGGAATTGAATTTCAAATTTTCAACTGATGAAACACCTGATTAATAAGATACATGCACAAAATAAAAATTTACTGTGCTGTCATGCTAACTAACCTCGTATGTAAAGTGTAGCACTACCAGAGAATGCTTGTTCAAAAGGTGGAAATGACATTATGTAACAACTAATACTAATTCTATCATTAATAGGCAAAGCACTGATACTAAGTACTGAAGAGAAGTTACCAGGACCACTAGGATCAGTGTATGTGATGCCTCTTTGTTGTTGAATGGAGTTAGTTAGTGGAGCACTTCCTACTATCCAGTTCAATATATTTCCAGTTCCTTCACAAGTAAATGTTGCTGTAGTATAAATAGGAGCTACTACTGATACTGGAGGCACTGTAATGACTATTGGAAGGAATTTAAAAAATTATGATTCAATTTATAACATTTTACCAGCTCCATCCACTGATTGAGAAACTGTAGATAATGAAGCCAACAGGAATAATACTAGCTCAAACATCTCTTGACTTTATGACCAATATACACTTTGTCTTATTATAATAATATCAACATATCCACACGTACCATAACATAATAATTACTGGTACACTGAATCGTGAGTTACATCAACAATGTAGAGGCCTATAGTATACACATGTTCCATATGACATGACCAACAGTGCAGTGTATGTTAAGATTGTTTATCATTAGTTGATCATGTTATTAAAATGTTAATTATACTATTCAACTAAATAATAACAAAGCTCTTCATTGTGCCGACTTAATTTGTAAACACTTCAAAGTGTTTAACAAGGTGTGAACAAGACGGTAAAAGAATGATTTTTCACTCATGCATAAATTATTAACAACAAAAAACAACAACAATGACAATAATAATAATAATAATAATAATAATAAAAGTTCATTTATTAGATTCTTGTTCAGCTACACTAGGCATTACAGCAACTCTTGAATAATTTCTAATCAGTTCAGGTCTTTGACCAGCCTCACTAGCTGTATACACTGAAAAACACAATAATAATAATTAATAATAATAATAAGGAAAAAACATATTACATTTTCTGATACATATACATCTACTTATGTTGCACATATATAGTTTGAGGATTCCGATCATAATTTGGATTTTTGTACAAATTTTTTAAGCAGCTCAAAATTTGAGCTAAAAGACCCATACAGGATGCAGTGCCAGAAATGACTAAGAGCAAATTCTCCATTTTTATTACATACATGTATATGCCTATAATTAATTATCAAACCCCTTACTAAAATATTACCCCAGGGGGAAAGAGAAAGAGGCTTGCCCCCTTACCTTCATCAGGTGTTGTAGTGATAGCAAAACTAACAGTACTCCTATTCTTACTGAAGGTGACTCCGCCCCTCTCCCTCGCTCCAACCGTTAACTGCCTCTCCCTCATCTTTTGGTTACGCTGAGACATGAACCACACCCACAGCCTAGCAGGAACCAACTGATACACATAATTCTAAAAATAGAAGATATTATTTATCATATTATTATCTACTGTATAGCCGGCAAGAATCTTTTGTGACCAAAAAGTAGAATATCAAAGCCACAAAATAGATCTTTGGATGGATCCACAATATTTTGGACCACAGATACCATTATAACTAGAAAATTTGGTGGCGTAAAACTTTGGTGAATTGAGGTCCATTTGCCAAATTTTTAGTCTCCAATTTGAAAAGGCTCCATAGAAGCAGACACAGAGTTAAAATTTTTAACCTCCAAACCTCTTTTAGAGTCAATTCGCCAAATTTTAGCACTCCAAATTTTCTAGCTATACAGTAGCTTACTAATTACTATACAGTATAATAATAATTATTTATACAAGTATAATAATTAATATAATAATAATTATTATTATTCATACTATGATGGCATGTATCCAGTATCCACAGCAGTTTGATCTATAGTCCAGTGTCCTTAATGCGTGTCTTACATACACTTCTGGTGAAGGACTGACAAATGAATTATCCTTTGATAGAGGAAGTGGTGTCAGTGTCTAGTATAAATTAATAATAATAACAATGATTATTATTCTGTTTAAAATACATTTGTTTCTATCAATGGAATACAGTATAGCCTCCTGCTATTGTGGACACTCTAAAATAAGGATACCTCTATAATGAGGAGGGGTAGTATCAGTCCCAATACAATAGTAATGTGTATTAATGAACCTCTGAAATAAGGACAGGTTCATAATCAGGAGCTAGGGTATTATTGGGTACCAAGGTGTCCGGAATAGACAGGATTGACTGTACATTAACTGTAAATTAGTTGATATTACCTGTACAGTGATTCCTTTATGATGATACTCATCATGTAGGGTTCGTCCTAACATTGTCACAAAACTCTATCAATAAACATTAATAACCATTAATAACTAGTGACCACGCCCACCATTGAAGCAGCTTCAGCGGCTAATAGAGGAGTAGGGGGAGCATCACCTAAAGCTGAGGATACGTTGATAATAGCACCTCTACCTCTCTCCAGCATTGTAGGTAATATCATATGAGTCATCTAATAAACAACAACAATAAACAACAACAATAAAAATAATAAAAATATATACAGGCTAGCCTCTATATAATGGAAACTTATGGACAAAAAAGTGTCTCTATTATACAGAGGTGTCCTTTATGTGGAGGTTATTTTATACAGTAAGGAATGTAATTGGTACACTAGGTGCTGTCCATTAAATGGAGGTGTACGCTATAGAGAGTGTCTATTAAGAGAGGCTATACTGTACATGTATCATGTATTTAACGTTACCATTGTTGTTGATGCTATGTTGACATTTACCAGCTGCCACAACCGCTAAAAAATGATAATAATATTAATTTATTTATTCATTAATTATTTTTTATTTCTTACATTGTTTGGTACTTGTGAGAAATATTGAGGATGATCATATTTTATTGGATTAACATTAACTGAATAAGAATAAGTACATCAAAATGTATCAGAAAATGTAATAATAATTTCCCAGCAAAAAAATCTTACGTAAGATCTTACTTAAGATCTTATGAAACCTTACAAATGATCTTGCATGTTTAATTATGCCTGTTCTTGCAAGATCATTAGACAAGAAGTTCCAAAATCTTGCCAAGATCTTATGATAAGTCTTACATGATCAGGCATGGTCTGACGATTAATCTTACATTATCAGTCAAGATCAGGCACTAAATCTTACATGATCAGGCAAGATCAGGAACTAAATCTTACATGATCAGTCAAGATCAGGAATGAAATCTTATATTTTCAGTAAAGATTTGGAATTAAATCTTACATTATCAGTCAAGATCTGGAATTAAATCTTGTATGATCTTTTAAGACTCTTACTTGTTATGAACTAATATCATGAAGGATATTGTAAGATCTTGTCAAGATCTTGAAGAAATAGTTAAGTTCGGATTTGGGATTCCAAGCATATCCCATAGTATTAAAATGACTGCAATTGTAAGATCTGAGCAAGAACTTACATTGCTTAAATGCATAATAATGATGTCATTATAGCTTAATTAAGTTTAATTTTGTTGAAAGTTTGCTTTCTTTATATGCTCATACTTTTGTAAAGGCTATCGTGGGTTGTCAACTACTTCCTGTGACATCACGCAACTTGTAAGATCTTTCAAGATCTTGTATGACTTAAAATGATGTGAAGCGTAAGATAATTCATGTAAGATCTTTAGTAAGATCAGGCATATACATCTATCAGTAATATTGTAAGATAATTCATGTAAGATCTTAAGTAAGATCAGGCCTGTACATCTTATCAGTGATATTGTAAGATAAGTCATGTAAGATCTTAAGTAAGATCAGGCATATACATCTTATCAGTGATATTGTAAGATAAGTCATGTAAGATCTTAAGTAAGATCAGGCCTGTACATCTTATCAATGATATTGTAAGATAATTCATGTAAGATCTTAAGTAAGATCAGGCATATACATCTTATCAGTAATATTGTAAGATAATTCATGTAAGATCTTAAGTAAGATCAGGCCTGTACATCTTATCAATGATATTGTAAGATAATTCATGTAAGATCTTAAGTAAGATCAGGCATATACATCTTATCAGTGATATTGTAAGATAAGTCATGTAAGATCTTAAGTAAGATCATGCCTGTATATAGTAGCTAAGATTGATCCAAATAAGATCTTATAAGGTTGTTCTTAATTCTTATCTCACCTTAC